AAACATTTTAATCTCAACTGTGTTTAAGTCAAATCAGTAGCCCAGTAGTCTACAGCAGTCAAAGAGAAGGTTCTTTCGGATGTTCTATCACAGAGGTGCTCACACTTTTTCAGCATGTGAGCTACTTACAAAATGACCAAGTCAAAATGATCTACCTAATACAAAGCCAAACAAACTGCACTGAAACACTCTGTGCCCCTTTTTTGGACCCTCCCCCACAGTTTGAGAACCCCTTCTTTAAGAGAACTTCCTCTGACACTTTACACAAAACTGAAAAAAGTGAAGGAAGATTTTTAAACCTGTGTTTTTTTAAAGTTCCAAACTGGAGTTACATTCTTTTCTGGTTTTGCAGTGATATTTACCAGCCTCTGCACGTTTACCAAACCAAACGCACATCGTGACAAACACAGATGCATTTGTGCACTTAGTTAGACAAACTTCAGCCAAATGTGGCAGTAGGTCTGTTCTGTAGATCCGCTCTATGCTGTAGACCTGCTTTGTGCCAACACTGGAACACAAATTTAGACTGGTTTTTGCATCACGTTTGGTCTTGTTCTTCTAATCAGCCGCACTGTGGGAGGGGCTTGTGTTCGCTGTACGCAGGAAGGAGCGAGAGCGTGAAAAGGCGAGGGGCGGCGTGCTGACGTGAGGCAGATGGACAGGTAGGATGTTTAGGAAGTTGAACCTGCCCTGTGATGCACGCTGGTACACGAGGGCACACGCTGTCGCAGACGAGCCGTGCATAGGGAGCGTGTGTGTTTGTGATGCGCCGTAGAGTCTCCGCGGGTTTCAAATGAGCGCACAGGCTGCACTGAGACGCCCCACACGCTCCTGCACCCGCTACAAGTTTATTACCAACAGCAGCGGCCGTATTGAAATATGATCGCACTTGTTGAGTGTCAGACCTCGAGTGAGAGACAAGACCGAGTCCAAACGTGAGTCCGAGACGAGACACGGCGATCTACCCACACGACCTTGGCGATCAACTGGTAGATCGCGATCGACGTATTGAGCACCCCTGGTCTAGAACAACCAAATACACAACAAAACCTGCCCATGTTTCTCCGATGCTGCTGAAGTCAATGACATAGTGTGCCCGGTGTCATGGCGGCATAGGTACCGTTGCTATAGGGGTCACGTGACGGTGCAAAGCCTCTATACCACAATACTGTCACACCCCTGCCTGTGACCTCAGTCTTTGTGGGCGGGGTCTGCTGGGAGCACCTGCACCCCATCTGCAATCAAACCTGCTACAAAGGCCCAGCTCTCCTGCCCGACTCTACCAGATTGTTCCGTCTACCTGACTGATTTTTCAGTTGGTTCAGTTTCTGATTCTTACCTTGCTTTCAGTATACTTACCTGCATATGTATTCCTCATTCCCGCTGTTGAAGACTCCTGCGTTCTAGCTGCTGGCTCCTCATTCCTCCACCGCCTACCCTCCCTGGTCAATAAACCTTTGTTACTTTAGCATTTTTTGTCCTCGTTTTGAGACTTTTTTGGGGTCCATCCTGTGATTCGTAACAAATACTGCACAATATCAACACCTGTGCCACGGTCTGACATCATGTAACATTCATAATAAATAATACATACACATACCTGAGCAGGGTGCTGGGATCAGTGGTAGTGGGAGCTTGGAGTAGAGCCACTGCTCCTCCACATCCACAAGAGGCCAGTGACATCAGTTTAGTTTAGTTATTTAATGAGACAGGGACATTAACCATAACAGGAGCACCAGTTCTAATGTCCACCTTTAATCCCTGGGCAGGTTTATAGACTGATTGTTTGAAGACCTGTGTAGCATGTTTTGGGTTCGGTTTCTCCACACAGAAAGGCCCAGGCGACCCAGGGATCAAACCTGGAACCTTCTTGCTGTAAGGCAGGCATGTCCAAACTATGGCCCGTGGACCAAATGCGTCCCTCAGACAAATTTTTCTTGGCCCTAAGGCTTGGCCCATATTACATTGCATCAATTAAAATTAAACTTTTTACTGCAAGTTTTTTGAAACTTTACCTTGATAAAGCAAATATTTCATATTTAGTGTGTGATTTTGAGGATCTTAGCATGAATTAAGACTGATGTCTCATTCTAACGTGTTAAACCTGCACATATTTCACTTATCCACTGTTTTGAGCATCAGTCTGTGGCCCTCGATCGGCCCTCTGCTTCATCTGTGTATAGATATGTGGCCCTTGATGAAAAAAGTTTGAACACACCTGCAGTAAGGCATGAGTTCCTCTGTGCCACCAGGGCTGTCAGGCATCTGTTCCAGATGACTCCTGGATGTGTCCCTGGGGAGGTGATGGGGGCATGTGTGGGGATGTTTTGAGGAGTGCAGGGTGTAGAAAGTTAAAATAACCCGCAGGCACCCGGCTGCACTGATTGTGATCCCGAATCATTGCACCGCTTCCACTTTTATAACGCCCAGAGAGGAAGTCCCTCCCCCTGGGTTTGCACCAACTCACAGGTTAGATTCTAGCAACTTCCCTGTTTTCCTGGTGTGCTACATTCCTTTCTTATCAGAGGCCTAAATCCCCCTTTAATGTTCTAATTTGTTTATTTAGTGCATCCAGTTCATAAAGCAAACATATAAACATGTAATATCCATATGCAGCTCATTCACATTCATTCTTCTGAAAACACTAGTGCACTTCAACACTTGGTGGATTTCTTGCCAAGAGACACAACAACAGCCACTGAGCTACTGCTGCTCCACTACAGCACCTGCTCTTCCCATTCAGCACGAAGCAGGCCCGACCCGGCTTAGCTTCCAACGTCGGACATTCTCAAGGTGGTCGGCAGTACCATCTTTGTCCCGCCCTCCGTCCTCTGTCCTTCATGCTCATTGGGCGTTAAGTTCATACACATATTCGTTTATGCTTAACGCTGGTCAGAAAGTGCAGCTGTATCTCTGACAGTCAGCCCCAGGGCAGCTGTGACTTTACAAACAGCTCATAAACGAGGTGAGGATAAATAATAGACTTTAGCTCCATGGGAAGCGTGTCAAACTTGTAAAACACAGTATTAATCAGAGCATAGTCTTCTCCGTTTTAATGTATGGAAAAATACCTATCACTCTGTATGTTTACTGAATGCAGAAGCAGATGTTTGGCCAGTACAGGATGTAACTATGGTTCTATGAGTACGTATTTATCACAACTATCTCTCACATCCAGCTGCGTTATGCTGATGACTTTCACATTAGCGCAGACAGCCAAAGTAAACAGATACGTCCACAGAAGATGACTCCGGAGAAACCCTACACGAGCCCTATATCACCCCGAACAACGTGCTCTCCGGAGGCTCTATTTCTGTAACACGTCTCACGCTTCGGCCATGTTCGTGGAAGCTAGCGACATGTTAGGAACTCCTGGCATGTCCGTATAAACAGAGCGGCGATCCAGAGGGGCCAGATCCTCCGCACGACAATCACGCGGATCCTTGGCGCGTTCCCGAAGACTAAAAACAACAGCGGGGAAGCTTGTTTTGACACCTCGTCCTCCAGAAGGCCAGAGGAGTGATGAGGCAGAGGTAAGAGGGCGTCAGGAGGTCAGGGGAGGTTTAAACAGTCAGGTGCTACTTTGTGAACTTGTTTCTCAGATTTTCTCGATGCATTTTAGTCCGTGGTGTGTCCCATATATGAGCAACGCAAACACAAAAAGTATAGGCCAGTTAAAATGGTTTTAAACAAAACACAACTCCAGGTCTGTTTTTGAGGAGGTAACAACATTCTAACATAGCCCAAAGCTTTTTTAAGTGTTGGAGCTGTGAGAAACAAACTTGTATAGTCTTGGTAACCAACTTGTAAACTAGTAACGGCAAAAACGTTATTCAGTATGTTAAAAGCAACAAGTAAGAGGTAAGTCTGTGTCTTGATCTCTAGGCTAATCAGGTATAACGACCCAAACTGAGGCTGGTAGGTACAGTATATAAAGGTAAGGCAATTTCACTTCCTCTCTTTTCGGGCAGGACTGATATCAGTGTCTCAAACCGGAATGATCAAATCAACTTTTGGCTTCTGTATTAGGGTGACCAGGAGTCCCTATTTACCAGGGACAGTCCCAGTTTTGAGCCCTGTGTCCCCTGTCCCAGCAGATTTATCCAAAACCACAGATTTTTCCTAGTTTTATACAAGAAATGTGTCTTTCTTTGACCAGTTTGATCTAAACCAGGACTAAACTAGGACTAAAACAGTACTATCACAATTGCAGACAGTAAAGAGGAGCATTTTTTGTCATTTGTTTAGTTAAAATATAGAAAACCATTTTACAAATGACCATAAAGCAAAAAAATGCAGCAGCAGAAGTTCCTCAGATTATGATGACATGAGAATGCACAATCTTACACGCTCTTTTCACAATTTTATTTACATATGTGTACCCATGACAGTGGGTGTGGATTTACCACAAAATAAAAAAATAAGGCCATACAAAAACGGACGTCACAGGGAGGAAAATAACAATTATGGATTGCATCATCAACACCAGTGAGTGGTTGTACTTATACAAGTTATTATTTATGTGCCAAGGTCTGCTACAACATTGATCTGCTGTGGAAAAGATGACAGCGACGCCCAATCCAAAGATTTAATCTTATCAAGCGTACACAGATACATGCAAGACCAATGGAACGGAATAGTTTTTGTAGACTAAAAACTTTTAATTTCATACGTGATAGTTTCAATTGCTCTTTGTTTATTTTACCGTGTGTTACCCAGATGAATATGCTGACGTTTACTGTGTCATCACGGTTCACTTTGAAAAAACAAGTTTTACGTCGGTTCCCGAACGCTCTGATTTCCAACGTGAACACGTGAGTCGGTTCAAGATAAGGTATAGGAACCAGCACCGGTACGGTTCTCTGTCAGCCTGAAAACGCCTTGTGAGGGTTTCATCCTGCTGCTCCTGCCCCTCCTCTCCTGCTCCCTCTCCACTTCTCTTATTACCTTGTTTGGAGTTTCCTGGGCGGATCCCAATTATACACACCTGCTGAGCTCCACACCTGACTCCTGATCCTCATCATTCAGTCATCTCCTGCCACAAAAGACCTGCTGACCTTCTCTCCACTGCCAGATTGTTCTGTCATCTAAGTGGTGAACTTTAACTCTAACTTTTATATATTTTTTGTGAGTGTTGTAAATGTATGGATTTACTAGTTTTTTGTATCTGTTCTCCAGTACCTTCATTTGGAGCCAGCCTCTTCTCGTTTGCCACTGGTTCTATAAGCCTCTGGTCAGTCTGTGCCACTACCTCGTGTCTGCAGCCGACCTGGACCCGTCCAGTCCCCCTGGAATTTATTCCGCCCTCCCCAAGACTATTTTTGGTAATAAAAAGTCTGATTACACAAGAACACTTGCAGGCAAAATTTACAAAATATTTGATTGGAAATGCCTTTTGTTTAAACGGTGACACCATTTTGGGGGCTTAAAACGCAAAAATCTGAAACCACCCTCCAGAGTGGAAAAGTTGAATAGGCTCTGCCCAAGACACAAAACTCTGGTCAGATCTGCTCAGGTCCTCTACGCGTTTACGTCACATACATCACCACCTACCGTCACAACCTCGCCGCCTGGCATGCATACCCAATCGAATTGCACACATTTTTGCATCACATTATCCACGCAGATTTCCTCCCTAAAATGTCCCTTGTCTAAATAAAAAGTGAAGACACAACGCCACTTTTCCATCTTCTGTTTAGACCGTCACCATAAATGTAGCCAAAGAATACTTTTTTCCTGCATATTTGAGTCCACCAGTAGTCATTCTTAACAGTCACGTGACCAGATTTTCACTGGGACACGCTCTGTTTGGGATGACTGTGACATTGTCAAGTGCATAATGGAAATTGTTATGCACTTGGCACATTCATGACTAACATGTGAGTCAGTGTAGTCACATTTTTAATTTTGATTTTAAACATGGCTTTCTGTATTTTACCTAATCAAATAACTATTTACATCTCTCTTTACTGTTGGCAGGATCAGATGTGTCAAAAATAGAGACACCTGGGACATTTCTTATATAAAATTGGGATAAATCAGTGGTTTTGGTTAAATCTGCAGGGACAGAGGACACAGGACTCAAAACTGAGACTGTCCTGGGTAAGTAGGAACGTCTGGTCACTCTGATGTGCGGTAGTGTTTATTTTTAAAAGTATGTATTCATAAAAGTGTCCGAATGTCTACCTCTGAAACCTCTGATGACCTGACCAACTTTTCTGCCATAACTTTCTACTATTTTTGTCTCATCTAAGCATCACCTGGTTATCCAGACTTCACTTCCAGCAGCTGCTTTATCCATTTTTGTTAAGCAATCAAATTAAAGAACAAACTTGGTGAAGAGTGGAACATGAAGTTACGCAGGGGATAAAACAAGACTCAATGAAACTCTCCCAAAACTGTAGTCGTCCTTGTTAGCTCACACGAGACGGTTCCTCCTCGGCGGTGTTTCCGAGCGTGTCATGTGGAGCAGGTGTTGATGGCTCTGAGGACTTTTGGCCGTGGGCAAAGGCCTGTAATGACTGATGTTCCACAGACCTGACTCAGAGCAGGAACGGAACTCGCTTTGGCCTAACTCGAACCACCTGGAAGAGTCCGATCTCTGAATATTTCACCGCTTTATCCTTCAATGGAGGCCTGACCGTGAAAGATAGAGGAGCCAAAAATGTACTGAAAGGCCGAATAGTAGCCTTCAGTTACTTCAAAATGAAATGACTCAGGTAGTAGAAGTACAAACATTGTTGGGAAGGTGACTTTTAAAATGTATTCCCCTACAGATTACAGATTACAGACCCCAAAATGTAGTTTGTAACGTAATCCATTAAATTACTGAAAATGAGTAACATAATCTGAATACTTTGAATTACTTGGTTTGCTGTAGAGAAGCAAAGACGAGGAAATCTTCACATAAGTTTTGTCTGATAAAAGAAAATAAAAAGCCATATTAAAAATATTATTGATAGAAGACGAAGAAACACGTCCACACAGCATGAATTAGTCCTGTTTTAGTTCGGGTTCAGTCCTGGTTTAGTCCTGGTTGTAGACCTTGTTTTAGTCCTGGTTTAGACCTGGTTTAGACCTGGTTAAGATCTCATTTGGACCTGGTTTCGTTTCCAGCAATGAGTGGAATTACCAAAAGAAAAAACAAAACAAAAACGGATATAGCCCAAAATATGAAAACAGGAAAATCCCGCCCTGTAATCCATTTATTTCAACAAAGTAACTGTAATCCAATTACCGCTCACTGAAACAGTAACTGTAACTGAATACAGTTACTCATAATTTGTACTCTGATTATGTAACTCCGGTAAATGTAATCTGTTACTCCCCAACACTGAGTACAAAGTAGTGCTCCAAGAATTATTCAGGTAAAAAGTATTTAAGGAAATTTCTAGTCCAGTAAGTCATTGTCATTAGAAGAATAAAACTTTAAAATCTGGTATTTTCAAAAGACACAGAAATGAGAAACTAAATTATCTGAATGAGTTATGAAAGTAACACAAATGTTCAAATCATTTCATAATGTCAAATAAAGTGTTTGTCACTTGTAGACTTACTCATAGTAGGAAAAGTAATTACAACTTTTACTCAAGTGAAAGTACTGTTACACTGTCAAATATGGAGAATGATTTAAGTAGAAGTAAAAGTATGGTGTCTGAAAACTGCTCTAAGAAGAACAATGTTATTAAAGAGGGGGTATACACTGCAAAAAAGCTTGGTCAAAGTGAAATATACGCACTTAAATCTATCAGAAAATGACTTAAAAGTAGTGAAATTATGTGTCCATGCAGCAAGATCATTTTACTTGACAAATTCTCTTAAAATAAACAACCTCCAGACTAGAATGAAGCATCTCAGAACGAGTAAGGAGATAATAAATCTGAAAAAAAAAAAAAAAGAATAACCTGATATACGTTTGCAGTGTAACACTTGCGGATTGCTATATTCACCAAAAACAACGTATATAATTTTTAGTTTGAGTTTTTTTGTGTCCCCCTCCCTTTTGCTCTCCACTCTAATTCACTCCCCTTTCAGAGCAGCAACACACTCAGCATTATAAAACTGCTGCACACCGCGTCAGGTTTTTTGAGCTGTAGTGTATTGTTTTGTACGTTTATGGGGAATTGTGGGTGACACTCGTGGGCTGAGCTTGGGATAGAATCGTACAACTAACCCTAAGGAGATTTTGAATAGTGCCTGTGAGAGATTGCTAGATTACTCTAACATGCATGGATGGCAAGGTAAGGCAAGTTTATTTGTATTCATACACAAACTAATTTGAAGTGTTTTACAGAATAAGAAATGCAATAAAATAACTATACAAACAAAACTAAAATTAAAAGAGAGAGAGAGACATTATCGTATTTTTATCTTATTTTTTTTTCATGGTTTGGGTGGTCCTTTGACCTATATATATTAAAATTTTCACACTGAAGCGGTGAGAAGTTCTAATCTGTTCCTCCTGCACCACTGTCACTTCACTCTACTGCACATGTCTCCTGCAGAAAGAGCCTCTGTTCTGTCTGTATCATGTCAGTCGATCGCACCATTACTTCTGCACCACTGAAAATGTAACGTTTAAACAAACTTATAAAGACACTGAGAAGACTGAACACAAATGCCCCCAAAAAGAAAATCAGATTTTGCAGATTACAAACTGCAAGTTGTGAAATCTGCATCTGAAAACGATAATCGAGCAGCAGAAAGAAAGTTTGGAGTGAGAGAGAAACTTGTGAGAGAGAAACACCGGGAGGATGCACCATGAAACTTTCCTGAAATCACTGGATGGATGGACAAAGTCTGGACTTCAGTGACACTGAAACCATCCTGTCAGGATTCAGAAAGACCCGAATAATTCTAACTGGAACTGATGCTGAGTCTGACGACAGCAACACAGATGAGGAAGCGGCGCTCTGTTTACCTCCGAAGGTCGAGGCCGAGTCGCTCAGAAGTGACACAGAGGATGAAGAATTGAATGGATTGTGATTTGGAGTGAGATGGAGAGTTTGGTAAACTTGTTCTGTTGTTTATGTTACAGTTTATCTGAAGAACTGTTCATATGTGACGTTTACAGTCTGTTGTTCTCTCTTCTATTGTTATTACTAGAACTTGTCGGTTCCTTGGCTCTGATTTTATAAAATACATTTACCCCAAAAAGTGCTTATAGTCCAGTGTGACTTGTATTTTTTTTCTTCTTCATTATGCAATTTTTGTTTTTTTCTGGTGCGGCTTATGGTCCGAAAAACATGGTAAATGAGAAATGGATGACATCTAAAACCTCTTCAGACATGTTTTTGATGAGGGAACAACATTATAACATGGTAAAAAGCTACAAAAAAGAAAAACTTGCATACTCCCCCTCGTTTATGTAAATTTAGCCTATTTGAATAAACCTAACTGATTTCTACACACTTCTGCTGACCAGTCACCTTCCAGAGAGTGTGTGTTTGGTACACAGCCTGCTTCTCCCTTCGAGGTTTTGTGATTACTGCGCATTATTAACATTGGAAAACTTGCATTGCCTTGTCTTGGATTGTTAGCACTAGAAGAAAAAACATATAGAGTTTCCACAATTCTTTAATATCAATCACAAAAGTAGTAGAAAGTTTTCCCCGGGAGACGCAGCGAGCAGCAGACTACTGTTTATGAACAACGCGTCCACATTGTCCTGCTGGTTTGGCGCTTGACGGATAGGCTGCAGAACTGCGAAGTGTTTGTGTTGGACGAGCGAGATCCTTCCTCGTACGGCTATAGCTCCCAGCGGTGGCATACGCACGTCAGTCAAAATCCGATATGCCCCGAAAAGTCTAAGTGGTAGTAATATTCGCGTTATAAAACAGTCCATCATTTTATTCGCCGTTTTATTGCTGTAATTTGTTGTAATGTGTGCGGCGGTCCAAACCCTAGCGCAGCAAATTTAACTTGGGGTTTTTAAAGCGTAACTCGGGAACATTTTATTCTGTTTTCTGCTGTGGTACGTTTCATAGGACGGTTGCCACATACAAAAGCATCCCGGTATCTCGTGGTTTAAGTTGGAAGTATTTTCTAACCAAGCAAATAGTCTTAAAGTGGAACTAAAAACTAAATCCACTTTTTTTGTTATTAAACTGTCTATCTTTCAACTGTTCCTAGTCATCTTTCCTTTTTTTTTTTACTTTGCAGCTTTTCTGGTCAGTAACTCCTAAATCCTGACTATAGTTGCCGCCGCAGTTTCCAGTAGTTGGTGACATCACACAGGACTAGAGGTTGGGACGTGCAAGTCATGACTTGGACTCAAGTCAGACTTGAGTCACTATTTTAGGACTTGAGACTTGACTTGATAAAATGGACTAAGACTTGGGACTCGACTTGGACTTGAAGGGCAATGACTTGGGACTTGACACTGACTTGAGGCCTGTGACTTGATGCTTCTCCTAAAAAAATATGTTTTTAGAAAATAATCTTTTCTTTACAGTTGATAAATGCAGTGCTTAATTTTACCAGAACAAACTGGAACATGTCCCTGGAACACTTCTGTTTGGTACTTTGGATGTAACTGAAGTACTGTGACGTGGTATCCTCAAATGTACTACAGTAATACACAGTACAAATACAGTAATATACAGTACAAATACAGTAATATACAGTACAAATACAGTAATATACAGTACAAATACAGTAATATACAGTACAATACAGTAAAAAGAGGAACCTACATAAAAATGCTTCCAATTCAGTGTGGACACATGACAAAAACAGTTATTTAGAACTTTTAAATCTGAATTATTTCTATTCTGACTGTAACAATTCACACTAAGATCTTAACAAAACATTTAAATAAGAAAAATTTGCATTTCTACAACTCTTAGTACAATTTATTATAAAATTCATAAAAAATCTAAGCTCTATTTGGTATTTTGGTTTAAAGATTTGAAATGACTTGAAGCTCAAAGCAGACGACTTGGACTTGACTTGGACTTACAGACCAGTGACTCGAGACTCGATTTGGACTTGTCTGTTTTTGACTTGGGACTTGATTCAGACTTGAGGTCAAAGACCTGAGACTTGCAAAACAAAGACGTGGTCCCACGTCTGCACAGGACTACTCATGTAACAAACTAAATATCGTGATATCGTATCGTCAAAGGTCTCACAATCATATTGACAACTGTCACAGTGTATCAAATCACAAGGTCCTTTGTTTAAATGCATTCTTTTATGCACATGATTCATTTCAGTGCAGACAACATGAAGAAATGTGTTTTTTAATTTAATTCTTGGGATTATAATAGTATTGATTCACACCAAAGTCTTGTCAAGGGGATTTAAGAGCATCAAAGTGTCCTGTATCCTAGGTACAATAGTTTCCAAACTATTGTAATAAATATCGTACTGTGAAATGAGTATTGTGAAATATCGTACAGTGAGATTTGGATATCGTTACATCCCTATGCAGGACTGTCCTGATTACACAAATGTTTCTGATCACAAACTCGTGGCTGCAGGGGCAGAGTTTGAAGTGTGGATACCTGTGTTGTGGGAAAAATATCTCTTGATGATAAATAATGAATCCATATGCAAAGCCCAATGAGTTTTTGGAATACAGACAAAAAATGTGTTCTTCTTGTTGCCTGCCCTGGCCACAGACCAACAGCCCCTCTTGAGTCTCCTCTCTCCATCTCCCCCAGAACATCCGAGCTCTGAGTATTTATACAGAAATACAAGTTACACACTGTACATATCAAAGCAGAGTGAGTTTTGTTTCACAGACTTACATAACTCACATTTGAGGACAGGCAGAGGAGGGACCAACTCATTGTTTTGCAAGTCTCAAGTCAAGTCTCGACTCACTGGTCCATAAGTTCAAGT